AATTTTGGGGGGGGGGGGGGGGGGGGGGCGGGGGGTTTTTTGGCCCCGGGGGGTGGTTTATGGTAAAAAAAAAAAAAAAAGGGTTTTTAAGGGGGGGGTTAAATTTTGGGGCCCCGGGGGGAAAAAATTTTTTTTTTAAAAACCCAGGCGGGGGGGAAAAAAAAAAAAAAGAGACGGGGTTTTCCCCCCGCCCCGGGGGCACAAAAAAAAAATTCGGGGGATTTTTAAACAATTTTTTTTGAACCGGGGGTTTTTTTTTAAAAAAAATTTTTTTTAAAATTGGGGCCTTTTCCCCCCCCCCCCCCGGGGGGGGCATGCATTTTGGGAAAGGGAAACTTTTATGGGTGTTTTGGGAATAATTTAAATAGGGGGGACACTACCCAGAGGGTTTTTTGTTTGCTTTTTTTTAAAAAGGGGGGGGTTTTGGGGCCCCCCCCCCCCCCTGGGGAACTTGCACAGCTGCCCCCAGCTAGCGTCCCTTCCCTCCGCTTTAGGTGTCCTTGAGGTGGCTGGCCATTCCCTACTTCAGTGGCACGAGACAAGGTGAAGGGTAGACGGCGGCGGGCAGCAGTCGCGTGTGCAGCACGTCAGCGAACATGAGATAACACCCCCAAAGAAACAAACTGGAATCCCAACGCGCCCTTAGGAGAAAAAAAAAAAAAATAGAAAGTCGGCATCCATCGGCCAACATTGTTGCGGATCCTGCGCGCCTCCAGACGGCGGGGTGACATTTAACCTTGTCGGAATATTATATACAGCGCTCAGCGTTACGTTCTAGCTCTCTTTCAAGGCGGGCCTGTTTTGAAGGACAAAAACCTCGCTCGTTATTCCCCGTCGGCAAAAAAAAACTTGATGAGGGACGTATGAATTGTACACACAAATTTGTAGCGTTGCGTTGCTCTTGCTCTTTTATGCGCGTATTTCACCTGTACTTCCTGAGCCAAACTGCCCCCTGACACACGCCGCCAATCAAGTTCTACGGTGAAACGAAAGCGTCGATACTCCACACTCATGCGATGGAGGAGGATGGCCTGACCAACAGCCACGGGTAATAACCGCCAACAGCGCTGCTGGCCATTCTTGAGCCGCTCACCGCTACATTAAAAAACGAAAAAGGACAAAAAGGTTGGACGAAACATCGGTCCGGAAGGGCCACACTACACTACCGGATCCGCAACATGTTCTCCAGCCACGGGCTGTGGCATCAACTCGACAACATGAACAAGGTAGCTCGTCTTACCTCAACCTTGCCTTCGGCGGGGATGGGGTTGGCAGCATTGTTGTTTGCCAGGAAGTCCTTCATGAAGTTGTTGTACAGGAGAGCAGCACCCTGTTCGCACGCACGCGCGCACAGACACCATGCGTCACGGTAAGTCGCCGGCGGGGGACGGAGGAAGGCAGCGCGGCGGGCAAGCCGCAAACAAGGCTCAAAAACATCGGTTACCGAAACCATTCATTGAGGTGCGGTAGCAACCGTAGGGGAACCACCACAGACATGCTGGGCTGTTGCTTCGCAGGGAGCGTTACGTCGCATTTCATTATCTTTTTAGGGGGGGGAGGGGGGGTCGCCGGTGATTAGCACCGAACAAGGCACGGACTGAAGCGGAGATCGTTGCGTGGTTCGGTGTGGACAAACGCGTTATTATGTGAAAGTCGAAGCCGGGCACGAGATGCTAGAGGGTGCAAACGTGTGAATGACTCACGGCGGCGTGCTTCGGGTGGGGGGAAGGGGGGGGTTCCACTGCTTCGGCCGTATGCATAAAACCGGTTTGCTGTGCATGCCACAAGGAAGCCTTTGCCCATGGGCGTGATCATGCAGTACATCCGTCCGTCTTTACAAAGAAGCATGGTAAAAGTAGTTTCTCCTGTGGCTTTGTACAAGGTGAAGCGGAATTTCCTACCACTGCCTGCTAAACAAACACCGCACACACAAAACCATAAAGTATGTACCACATACCTGGGTCTGCGGGAGGAAGCACCACGCGAGGAAGGCCAGCTTCAGCGCGAAGTAGAAGGGGATCCAGTGGAGGAGCACGGACAAAAACGCTTCCAAAATGCTGAACGCCGCGAACACAACCCAGTAGGTGAGCCTGCGCCGCGACGGAAGGGATATGTATGGATTTACGACAGCAGATAGTTACGGTTACATATACAGCGATGCGTGCGGGGGCTTACGAGAAGGGAGATAAATACAAACCGTTGCTGGAGTGTGTGACGAGTAGAATAGGCAGCAGCAGTGGCGGCAACACTGGGTATGCATACTCGTAATTGCTGTCGTTCCGGGCTCCAAGGGTCGTCCGTGGGGAATACTCCGACATTTTCCACACGATGTCGTTGTGTCTAATCGGGCGTTCCTTCTACTCTCGCGGGATGAGCTGAAGGCAGGCATCGCAGGGGGCAAGAGTGGAGAGAACGAAAAAGGCTCCTCCCGCTATTGCATTCCCGCTGCTGCTGTGTGGCCCCATCTGGAGCATCATACACACGTACCGAACGGTTTGTGGACCAAACACACACACAACATCGTGTACAGCAGTATATGCATCACTGCTGGTCCCTCTCGCGATGTCCAAGGTTTTCGGGACGAAGAGAGTTTTTGCTTACAGGCTTTTGCAACGGTAACCCTTTCTTATTGGCTCCCAGATAAGAGAGTGACCACAGCCCGAAAGCAGAATAGTGGCGGTCTGGGAAGCAAATGAACTCGGGGTTTCGGCCCGCTGTGGCTTTTCGGCAGGGGTTTGAGATACACACTTGATGCCACTACGGTGACAGCAAGTGACAGGATCCAGCACAAGGCCTTGTACGGCATGCGAGAGAAAGCTAATGTCTCGGTATTCATGGCAGGCTAAATGGACTTAGAGCGGCGCATGTGACTTACTGCGAGACTGCTGGTGTTGGTGTTGGTTGCCTCTACACGTCGAAAAAAAAAGTTGTGACCTGTAACTGCCGGGACCTCCGCTCATTTACTCTTGAAACGTAAACCGATTTTCATGGTCAGCTGAGCTCACGTAGATAGGTACTACCGGTCGAGAAACGTACCTAGGTTCACAGATGCAATGGGGCGAGAGCATGCGATCATCCTTGTTCCACGAAAAAAGCAATAACCTACAGTCCGTGTAGTACGATGGACATCAAGGCCTGCCACTTCGACTAAACCCCGCCGACAGCGCATGCCGACAGACCGGCCTCAAAGAGCAAGCCCGAATCATTGCTGCCGTCAGTTTTAGAAAAGAGTACTTCGATAGGCAACTGTAACACCCGTTCGAGAGAGGCGGAGAGATGGCACCCCCCCCCAGACCGACTGCGTGAGCTCGGCCACCAGTAACCATAATGGTGGTCGAGTAGATCATGTTGTGCGGGGTCGAGAACCATCACTCCGCGCAACGGGGGATGATCGCACCACGTTGTGTTAAAATGGTCAAGCTTCCTCGAGGCAGTTACACAGTGCTTACAACTGTCTCTGGAAGTGAAAGCACCAGAAAATAAATTAAGTCATACGTAGCTGTCATCCGTACGCAAGGAAGTAAGCACAAAATGCCGAACACCCTTAGCAGGATGCAGCTCACCCTTCATGCGACTCGCCAAATACCTCACGGCGCTTCGCGCTTGGTGATGTGAGAGCCTGGTCCGGTGAGAACCCGGCATGCTCCGTCCCGGCTTTGTAGGGATGCGAGGTCAATGGTCAAACGACTACGGCATGCACGACTATGAGTACACCCCCCCCCCCCCCCCCACTTGACTA